ATTGTTGACATATCTCTTACAACAACAACTATGAAATCCGTGTGGCAGCACAAACATGCATTGTGTGCCATCATGCGTCTGTGTTTGTCCGTCTGTGCATCTGGTGCATTCTTGACACCACTGCAAATGGATTTCTCTGCCTCATTTGTTGGCAAAAAATTGGGTCACTACTTATTTCTTTACTCGATGTGGAGATTTTATAAAAAAAATTAAATTTTTTTTAAATATTAATTTTTTTGCTGACTACCTGGATTTTTTAAAAATTATTTTTTATAGATTACCATAGGGCGTGGATTTTTATACCCTTCACCACACTGTGGTACAGGTTATTATGCCTTTATGCATATGTTTATAACAGGCAAAGGAAAGGAGATAGACCCATGGTTCCTTTAGAGAATATGCAGAGAATCACTTTCTGAGTCGATTTATGCATGTCCGTCTGTCTGTCTGTCCATGTTAAATTGTAAACAAAGTACAGGTCGCATTTATGATCCGATTTGTATTAAATTTGGCATAGGTCACTTATTTAGCCCAAGGACGAACCCTATCGAAATTGGAGAAAATCGGTTCAGATTTGGATATAGCTCCCATATATATTTTCGTCCGATTAAAGGTTAATGGTGCACTAAGATGCACGAAATTTGGCACAGCGTAATGAATTAGAACTAGAATGATGTGTTTTAAGCTTCCTGAAAATCGGTTCAGATTTAGATATAGCTCCCATATATATTTTCATCCGATTTATGGTAAATGGGGCATCAAAGTGCCTATATATCTTTCGATATACACGAAATTTGGCATAGGGTACTGAATTGAGTCTAGAAAGATGTTTGTTAAATTTCGTGAAAATCGGTTTAGATTTAGATATAGCTCCCATATATATTTTCGTCCGATTTAAGGTAAATGGTGCGTCGAAGTGCCTAAATATCTTTCGATATGCACGAAATTTGGCATAGTGTTCTGAATTAATAACTAGAATGATGTGTGCTAAGTTTCGTGAAAATCGGTTCATATTTAGATATAGATCCCATATATATTTTCGTCCGATTTAAGGTAAATAGTGCACCAAAGTCCCTAAATATCTTTGGATTTGCACGAAATTTGGCACAGCGTTCTGAATTAGGCCTATAATGATGTGTGATAAGTTTCGTAAAAATCGGTTCAGTTTTAGATATAGCCCCCGTACATATGTTCGTCCGATTTAAGGTAAATGGTGCACTAAATACCCTTTATATCTTTCGATATGCACGAAATTTGGTATAGCGTACTAAATCGAGTCTATAATGATGTGTGCTAAGTTTCGAGAAAATCGGTTCAGATTTAGATATAGCTCCCATATATAGTTTCGTCCGATTTAAGGTAAATTGTGTGCCAAAGTCCCTATATATCATTCGATTTGCACGAAATTTGGCTCAACCTACTGAATTAAGCCTAGAATGATGTGTGTTAAGTTTCCTGAAAAACGGTTCAGATTTAGATGTAGCCCCCATATATATTTTCGTCCGATTTAAGGTAAATGGTGCACCAAAGTCCCTAAATGTCTTTCGATTTTCACGAAATTTGGCATAGCGTACTAAGTTGAGTCTATAATGATGTGTGCTAAGTTTCGTGAAAATCGGTTCATATTTAGATATAGCTTCCATACATATATTTTATGGTAAATGGGGCACCAAAGTCCTTATATATGTTTCGATTTGCACGAAATTTGGCACAACGTACTAAATAGAGTCTACAATAAAGTGCTCTAAGATTCGTAAAAATCGGTTCATATTTAGATATAGCTCACATATATATTTTCGTCCGATTTAATGTAAATGGTGTACCAAAGTCCCTATATCTTTCGATTTGCACGAAATTTGACACAGGTCTAGAATGATGTGTGTTAGGTTTCGTGAAAATCGGTTCAGATTTAGATATAGTTCCCATATATATTTTCGTCCGATTTAAGGTAAATGGTGCACCAAAGACCCTATATATCTTTCGATTTGCACGAAATTTGGCATAGCGTACTAAATTGAGTCTAGAATGATGTGTGCTTTCTTCCTGCGGAAGCGCTGCAGGTATCCTTCTTCCTGTGGAAGAGCTGCGGGTATTCTTCCTCCTATGGAAGAGCTGCAGGAGTCTTCTCCCTGAGAAGAGCTGCAGGTGTCCTTTTTCCTGTGGAAGAGCTGCATACGTTCCTATGGAAGAGCTGCAGGTATTATTATTCCTTTGAAAAAGCTACAGGCGTTCTTCTTCCTATGGAAGAGCTGCAGGAGTCCTCTTCCAGTGGAAGAGCTGCAGGTATTTCTTCTTCCTATGGAAGAGCTGCAGGTATTCTTCTTCCGTTGAAAGAGCTGCATATATTCTGTTTCCTTTGAAAAAGCTGGAGGTATTATTCTTCCTGTAGGAAAGCTGGAGGTATTCTTCCTATAGCAGAGTTGCAGGTATTCTTCTTCCTGTGGAAGCGTTGCAGGTATTCTTCTTCCTATAGGAGAGCTGCCTGCAATTTTCTTCCTAAAGGAAAGCTGGAGGTATTTCCCTTCATATAGGAGAGCTGTATGTATTCTTCTTCCTGTACAAGAGTTGCAGGTATTCTTCTTCCTGTGAAAGAGCTGCAGCTATTCTTCTTCCTGTGGAAGAGGGGCACCAAAGTTCAGTTCTTTCGAAAAGTCTGTTAGGTGACTTTGTAGAATATACCCAAAGTGGTGAAGGGGTATCATATAGTCGGCCCAGACCGACTTTACTACTTTCCTTACTGGTTTAAAAATTATTTTTTCTGACTACCATAAGGCGTGGATTTTTTTAAAAATTATTTTTTTTTGTGTGGATTTTTAAATTTTTGTTTGTCCCCTATATGTTCTATGATTTTATCCACACTCCCCAAGCTAAGAATGATTGATCATAAACATTACAGATCACACATAAACATATCTCCCCCCATAACACCTATTTATCTACCTTTATTCCCCACCCCTTCATTTACAACTCCCCAGCAAACCACTGCTGTAGACAAAACAAGTTTTTATTGAAATTGTCCGGCTTTTTTTGTATTGACTTTAGAAAAAAATGGCACAATTATTTTATAACAAAAAAAACCGACAACCAGCTAAACAGCCAGCAAACCAGCTAGCAAAAGCAGTCAGTCTGACTGTCTGTCTGTCGCTCCGTTAAATTCACTACCACCAATCAAGTCAGCAATGAAATGTGGGTAACATGAAAATAATTGACGGTCTGTAAATGACACCAAAAAAACAAGTTGAATGGTTGGACGGTTGGATGGCTGGTTCGATAAATGGATGGACGTATAAATGGCTGATTCGACTTTAAAGCGGACTTACATAGTACCGGCATAGTTGTTGGAAAAGGGGGGAGGAGAGGGTGTTATGTTTGACCATTACTGCCACTATTATTATTGTTGTTGTTATTATCAAATCATAGAGGCGAGCAGAAGAAGAAGAAAAAATAATGGAAATTTTATATTAATATTATTAGCTATGCCGGAGGAGGGGTACGACATATCCAGCATGTGGCTATATGGAGGCATTACAAAACATTTTTTTGTTGTAAGCGGATAGCCCATAAAAACCATTTTAAAATATAAAAATAAATTTAAATTGTATTCAAATGCATTTTCGAGGTTTGGACTTTGCATACGAAGAGGGGAAGAAATTGGTGTAATAAAATTTAGATTATATAATTTTTAAATTATTACTATTATTATTATTTTAATTCCAATTATCCAATCAAATAAAAAAAAACTGAGGGTATTCAATTTCATGACTTTATTTCCATTTAAGGTCCAGGCACTTCTTCACAGACAACAACGGGGGTCTTGGTGTAATGGACTCCTTAGGAAACGATCATAAAGTATGGGGTTTTAAATTATCATTTCTTTATTAGTCACCCCTTCCCCGTCCCTTTTCCACACATGCTAGAACATATTTTATGTGGGTGTCATAAAAGTGTCATGCTGTGTTTTCTAAGGGGTTGGGGGAGGCGAAGAAGAGGTTTACTGCATTTCTTCTTCGGCGATAATATCTGTTTAGTGTTTTTCCTCTCCTTTTTTTGTGGTTCGAAGATCGTGTTTAATTTCAGTTTTTTCGGAATAAGAATTTTTCCGTTTTATTTATGATAAGGCAAAGATAAATGATTTTTCATCTTGATGGGAAGCGGAGGGGGAGATGGAGACAGGAAGTTGTTAGAATGTAAAATTAATCTCAACACACACACAAATTTGTTTGATGATATATGAAATGGGATACTATATTTAGAAGATATTTTATCACACTCAATTGAGATCGTATAGATTTTAAGTAAAGTTAGGAATGGGGCTGAAGAGGGGGAGGTTTTAAGGGGAAATGTAAAATCCATCAAAAGGGAGGTGTTACAAAAAATTAAAATCAAAAAACCCAAAATTAATAAAATTCTATATAAAAAATGCGATCAAACATGTTTGATGTTGGTTTAAAACGAATTCAAGTTTGATCAAACATGTTTGAAGTTTGAAATAATTTATTTATATTTTTTCTTAATTTTAAACAGCGACACTGTAGGGTTTACATTATATCGGTCCACTTTTTGTTATAGCCCCCATATAAAGGTACCCCCCCAACCCCAAACAAATTTCGGTATTATCGAAACCTATCCAATTTTGACATTTTGGGGAGTTTGGTTACGTTTTTCAACCGAATTGTCTGTAATTAGGTGTTTTGAGTTTTCTTTGGTTGGGGCGGTAAATCGTCATACTAAAAATTATAAACATCGGTCAATCGTTGGGTGTAGCCTCCACATAAAGGTTCAACCCATTTTACAGGCCCCAGGAGCATTTTCTAAATGAAGTACATTTTATACCCTTCACTGCACTGTGGTACAGGGTATTATGTCTCTGTGCATACGTTTGTAACAGGCAAAAGGAAACGAGATAGACACATGGTTCCTTTTGAGAATATGCATAGAATCGCTTTCTAAGTCGATGTATGCATGTCCGTCCGTCTGTCCATGTTAAATTGTAAACAAAGTACAAGTCGCAATTATGATCCGAATTGGATAAAATTTGGCATAGGTCACTTATTTGGCGCAAGGACGAAATTCGGAAAAATCGGTTCAGATTTAGATAAAGCTCTCATATATATTTTCGTCCGATTTGATGTAAACGGTCCCTATATATCTTTCGATTTGCACGAAATTGGGCACAACCTAATGATTTAGAACTACAATGATGTGTTTTAAATTTCGTGAAAATCGGTTCAGATTTAGATATAGCTCTGATATATATTTTCGTCCGATTTTAGGTAAATGGTGCACCAAAGTCCCTATATATCTTTCGATTTGCACGAAATTTTGCACAACCTAATGATTTAGAATTACAATGATGTGGGTTAAGTTTCCTGAAAATCGATTCAGATTTATATATAGCTCACATATATATTTTCGTCCGATTTTAGGTAAATGGTGCACCAAAGGCCCTATATATCTTTCGATTTGTACGAAATTTGGCACAGCGTACTGAATGGAGTCTAGAATGATGTGTGTTAAGTTTCGTGAAAATCGCTTCAGATTTAGATATAGCTGCCATATATATTTTCGTCCGATTTGGTGTAAACGGTCCCCATATATCTTTCGATTTGCACGAAATTTGGCACAGCGTAATGAATTAAGTCTAGAATGATGTGTGTTAAGTTTCCTGAAAATCGGTTCAGATTTACATATAGCTCTCATATATATTTTCGTCCGATTTTAGGTAAATGGTGCACCAAAGTCCCTATATATCTTTCGATTTGCACGAAATTTGACACAGCGTAATGAATTAGGTCTAGAATGATGTGTGTTAAGTTTCCTGAAAATCGGTTCAGATTTATATATAGCTCTCATATATATTTTCGTCCGATTTTAGGTAAAGGGCGTACCAAAGTCCCTATATATCTTTCGATTTGCACGAAATTTGGTACAGCGTACTGAATGGAGTCTAGAATGATGTGTGTTAAGTTTCCTGAAAATCGCTTCAGATTTAGATATAGCTCCCATATATATTTTCGTCCGATTTAATGTAAATGGTATACCAAAGTCCCTATATATCCTTCGATTTGCACAAAATTTGGCACAGCGTAAGGAATTAGGTCTAGAATGATGTGTGTTAAGTTTCCTGAAAGTCGGTTCAGGTTTAGATATAGCTCCAATATATATTTTCGTCCGATTTTAGGTAAATGGTGTACCAAAGTCCTTATATATCTTTCGATTTGCACGAAATCGGGCACAGCCTAATGATTTAGGTCTAGAATGATGTGTGTTAAGTTTCCTAAAAATCGATTCAGATTTATATATAGCTCCCATATATATTTTCGTCCGATTTGATGTAAACGGTCCCTATATATCTTTCGATTTGCACGAAATTTGGCACAGCGCAAGGAATTAGGTCTAGAATGATGTGTGTTAATTTTCGGGAAAATCGCTTCAGATTTAGATATAGCTCCCATATATATTTGCGTCCGATTTGGTACACCAAAGTCCCTATATATCTTTCGATTTGCACGAAATTTGGCACAGCGTACCAAATTAGGTCTAGAATGATGTGTGTTAAATTCCGTGAAAATCGGTTCAGATTTCGATATAGCTCCCTTATATAGTTTTAATCTAAGGTGTTCTAATCTATTCACATCCCAGGGAAAACAATTTCTAAGCAAATAGAAAACCCCAAGAAGTCATGAAAAATTATCAAAAAGAAAATATTAGAACAATTTTCTATTTTCCTACCTCAAAATTGTCTCCTCTCTCCGCCAAATTTACACTTTCCTTATCTTAACTTTTTATGACCTAATGTGATTGACACAAGATTGTGTTGCTATGTTGTGTCATAAAAAAGGAAAACAAAATCTGATATTGTATCTTCAAAAATTCAATACAAACACATTCACATACATACAAACACACACGAAAGAAAGAAAATTCATTCGATATCTTATTCTTACAGATCAAATTGATTGAATAAAATGAATGACTGACTGACTGAGTGACAGCCGGTTTGGCTGGCTGACATCAACGAAGACATGAAAATGTCTATATACATCGATGTGTGTGTGCGATCAAAACGTATGCCATATGTTTGTCTTTGGTTCGAGAATTTATTATGCCAGACATTTCCGACCATTAAGAAGTCTACAGGAATATTTCGATTTTCGTTTTTCATTTGTGGACTGCATTTTCTCCAGCCACCGGGGCAAAATAGAAGATCCTACCCTTCGTCTCCTCTTCCCGCCACTCTTAAAGTTTTTTTGATTGTCATTTTCTTGGGTGTATATTTTTGGATGCATCCACACCACCACCCCAAAATAATACGAATTTTGTTGTTGTTGATTTTTTGTTTTATTTTTGTAATGGCACAAGCCCTATTCGCCTGTCCGTCCGTATTTTTTGTTTATTTGTCGTTTACCTTTCTCATTCATTATTTCCGTTAAGGAAGTATTTTGTCTGTTTTATATTTATTTACGAGCGCACCTCCACCTTTTTCCTTGAGTATTTCAAGTATCTCATTAAATAGATGTTCGATGTGGAGGATTTGTTGGTGTTGTTGCTGTGTTTGGAGGCTTTCAGACATGACATGTCGAACACTCGATTGCAATTAATAATGTGTGATGTTTTGTGTTTAATGACACGGAGAGATTTAATGGCGGGATTATTTTGGAATAGATCGACATGATGGCGTTGAGAATGAAATGAGTACGTAAACTAAATTTTTAAAATATGCAAGCCTTAGGTTGGATCCCAAAACCCACTCCTTATGTAGGACCTCTCACAACAATATTTAAAAAAGTCCACCTAATGTACGAGCTTTCAAAATAATATTCAATCTAGTAAGGGAAGTAGTGAAGTCGTACGGGGCCGACTACATGATACCCTTCACCACTGTGGGTATATCTACATATGTCTCCTGACAGACTCCGATTTTCGAAAGAACATTGACCGATTTTCAGGAAACTTAACACACGTCGTTCAAGACTCAATTGAGTACACTATACAAAATTTCGTGCAAATCGAAAGTTATATAGGGACTTCGCGGCACTATTTACATAAAATCGGACGAAACTATATACAAGAGCTATATCTAAATCTGAACCGATTTTCACGAAATTTAGCACACATCATTCTGAACCTAATTCATGACGCTGTGCCAAATTTCGTGCAAATCGAAATTTATATAGGGACATCGCGCCACTATTTACATAATATCGGACGAAACTATATACGGAAACTATATATTTATCTGGACCGATTTTCACGAAACTTTGCACACACCATTCTAAACTCAATTCAGTACAATATGCCAAATTTCGTGCAAATCGAAAGATATGTAGGGAAATTGGTGCACCACTAACAATAAATCGGACGAAATTATATATGAGAGCTATATCTAAATCTGAAACGATTTTCTAGAAACTTCACACATATTATTCTAGACCTAATTAATTACGCTGTGCCAAATTTCGTGCACATCGAAAGATATATAGGGACTTTGGTGCCCCATTTACCTTTAATCGGACGAAACTATATATGGGAGCTATATCTAAATCTGAACCGATTTCCACGAAACTTAACATACGTCGTTCAATACTCAATTGAGTACACTATACAAAATTCCGTGCAAATCGAAAGTTATATAGGGACTTCGCGGCACTATTTACATAAAATCGGACGAATGTATATATAGGAGCTATATGTAAATCTGAACCGATTTTCTCGAAACTTGACACACGTCATTTTAGACTCAATTCAGTACACTATACAAAATTTCCGTGCAAATCGAAAGATATATAGGGACTTCGCGCCACTATTTATATAGAATCGGTCGAAATTATATACCGGAGCTATATCAAAATTTGAACCGATTTTCACGAAATTTAATACACATCATTCAGGACCTAATTCAGTACTCTATGCCAAATTTCGTGCAAATCGAAAGATATATAGGGACTTTGCGCCACTATTTACATAAAATCGGATGAAAATATATATGGGAGCTATATCTAAATCTGAACAGATTTTTACGAAATTTAATACACATAATTCGGGACCTAATTCAGTACTCTATGCAAAATTTCGTGCAAATCGAGAGATATATAGGGACTTTGGAGACCCATTTACCTTAAATCGGACGAAAATATATATGGGAGCTATATGGAAATCTGAACCGTTTTTCGAGAAACTTAGCACACATTTTTCTAGACCCAATTCAGTACCCTATGCCAAATTTCGTGCAAATCGAGAGATAAATAGGGTCTTTCTTGACCCATTTCTTGACCCGATTTTCTTCAGTTTCAATAGGGTTCGTCCTTGGGCCAAATAAGTGACTTGTGCCAAATTTCATCCAAATCGGATCATAAATGCGACCTGTACTTTTTGTTTACAATTTAACATGGACAGACGGGCAGACGGACGGACATGCATAAATCGACTCAAAAGGGCATACGTAACTCCTTGTGATAGACCCCAAAAATAATTTTTAAACCAGTGAGCGGAGCAGTATAGTCTGGCGAGGCCGACCATACGATACCCTACAAAACTACCACGGAGTTCTAACATCCTGCGGATGTATATTCCGAGCCTGGACAATATTTCGTGATATTTGCACCCTCTTATCCGATTAGAGGAAATTTAAGCGTTGTTCTTGGCCATAACTGGAACCTCACGGAACATTTCAAAGCGATCAGCGCTATATTTCCGCTCTCTAGTGTGGTAATGGGTTACTAAATAAAAAGTTAGGGTCCATTTGACCCGCTAAATATTGAATGATCTTTATCAAAATTGGCATGCTTAATCTTTGGTCCAATACCCTTCTCCATGTAAAAATTCGCGAAGTTTGGGCCATAATTGCGGCCTCTGGAGCGACCAGAAAACCCGACAAAAATTAAGTATTTGGTCCATTTCATCCCCTAAATATTAACCGATCTTTACCAAAAACATTGGGTCAAACTCATCCTACATGCAAAATTTCGTGAAGATAGGTCCACAACTGTGGCATGTATCGTGTTTATATATATAAAC